GTCACCTCCACCATCACTGCCCTCACCCCCGTCACCACTGTCACCTCCACCATCACTGCCCTCACCCCCATCTCCACCCCACCACCATCACTGCCCTCACCCCCGTCACCTCCATAATCATCACCTCCATTACTACCATCATCACCATGGTCTCTGTCACCACCACCATCACCTCTATCACCATCGTCATCACCTCCATCACCACCGCCACCTCTACACCACCATCACCACTTTCCTGTTCCGGCGAGGTCATATGTCCGCTGGGACAGGCGCTGCAGCCCAGGGGGACTTGGGTGAAGCTGTCTGGGGAAGAATTCACACAGTCTAGTTCAGAGCAGCAGATGGGGTCTCACCACCTCCCAAAGGAGAAAAAACGAGGCCAATTATCTTAGCTTTATGCAGCCTTGTAAGAGCAGCCTGATATGTTAGTCTAGGGAAACCCCAGTTACACTGCGGTCAGTTTGGAGTTGAGAGTCCTAGATGAACCGTGGAGGGAAGGTGCCACCCTGCTATGTAACTACGTAACAGAAAGCAGACACTGGGCTCTACGTTTAGCCAAGTCACAAATTCTACCTTTTTTTTTTTTTTTTTTTTTTGAGATGGAGTCCTGCTCTGTCACCCAGGCTGGAGTGTAGTGGCGCAAACTCAGCTCACTCCAACCTCTGCATCCCAGGTTCAGGCAACTCTGGTGCCTCAGCCTCCTGAGTAGCTGGGATTACAGGCACACACCACAATGCCTGGCTGACTTTTGTATTTTTAATAGAGACACGGTTTCACCATGTTGGCCAGGCTGGTCTCAAACTCCTGACCTCAAGTGATCCACCCACCTCATCCTCCCAAGTGCTGGGATTACAGGCCTGAGCCACCATGCCCAGCCCAAGTGACCAATTCAATAAGCCCAAGCAGGTGAAAAATACCCTCCATACACCACAAAGCCTGGGCAGAGGCCCACGCGGAAACAAGCCACAACTATCAATCAAGAGGGCCCGTCCAGCGGATTAGTTAAGAAAGGGGGGCTGGGGAGGGGAAGGAAAAAGTTAGCAAAACAAAGGAACCTCCACTGTCAAAGGACAAGTTGCCTCTGAGCAGTCATGGTCTCAGCAGGAAGCGAAATGACCAGTCTGGGGCTCCAGGGGAGCTCTGTGCAGGTGCAGGAACCACGGGATGCAGGTGCCCACAGTGCGCCAGGAGCGGCCCCAGAGGGCCCTTTGGAAAAACTCCAGGGAACGCCACGCCTCTCAGCCGTCTGCAAGTGGCGCAGGAGTGCACGGCCCCCTGCAGGAAGGCTGCGCGCGCGTCCTGGCTCCCCGCCGCCAGCAGCAGCTGACCAGCCGAGGGCTGCGCTCACAGCCAGGCCCGGCCTTCACACCCGGCGCTCTGCAGCTGTCCACGGGCAACGCACACGACATTTCCACACGGAGCCGACCTTTGCATCAGGGACGGTTTGCCAGCAGTGCCTCGGCTGTAGTAAAACTAACAAAAAACTTCAAAATTAGCAACTGAAAAACGTCCGAGTGCTGCCAGCATTTCCAATCTCAACATGATCACAGGTTCACAAAGAGAAAAGGGCCCTGCGTGGCAAGTGCCCCCGCCAGCTCATGACTGAGCCCCTCGGGAGGGAGGGGATCTCTGGCATCCGAATTTCTTCCAGGAGGCCAGCAGCACATCCGGCTAAGCCACAGTGGAGGAGGCAGCAGCCGAAGGGGACGGCCCCATGCACTCCCCCAGCAACACCCAGCAGAGGCGGCGGTGGCCGAAGGGGATGGCTCCATGCATTCCCCCAGCAACACCCAGCGGAGGGAGCTGCCACAGGGCAGCCATCCTCCCTCATCCGGCTTCAAAAATCACCTCCAGGCGGGGCACAGTGGCTCACACCGGGAATCCCAGCACTTTGAGAGGCTGAGGCAGAAGGATCACTTGAGATCAGGAGTTTGACCTCCGGTCGAAAAAAACCATGACCCGCAAGCACCATTGGAGCCTGGCCAGGAAAGCACCTTTACGTCCTGTCCCAGCGGCTCCTCACTGCCGGAGGCGGCAGGTTCCTAGCTCCTAGCACCCGCAGAAACACAAAACTTCCTAACAATGATGGAGGCCACAACTCGGCCACAGTGGAGGCGGATCCCTCAGACTTTCCTCCCTGCTGTCCAGCCAGCTATGGAAGCCCCAAGGCTGCCAAGGCCACAGCTCAAGGCTCTGTCTTTGGAGTGAGACACACTCAGTGACTTGGAGGAGGTGACCTGGGGGGAAGGGGGAGCATCTAACGCATCCCCAACCCCACATTCGAGGCTGGTGTCCACCCTGGACCAGAGGCCAGCGCAGACAGGCGGAGAGCCAGCAATGCTGCCCTCTGGACCCCAGAGTCAGCAAGGCGGCTCTGTGGGCTGCTGGTGTGGACATGCCGTGGCTCCGTGTGCCCTGTGATCAGTAAAGATGGAGACAGTCAACGTCAGACTGCCCCCAGACTCAATGACTTTTCAACACGGTCCGGCACCCTGCTGACGGAGTTCCTCATCAACTCAAGCACCGCCTCAAGTTCAACAGGTCAGGATTCCAGCGCTCCGCATTGGACAGAGGCAAGAACAATGGCCGCTGACGTGACTTGGAAAAGCTGGTTCCTGTTTTTACGCAACTTTCTAACAGCTGATTCTTCACTTTCCCTCAGTGCTGCCATGAGAGAGGATTGCTCATGAAGGCTGCATTTTCCAGCCCAGTCTTCCGGACATAGCTGACCAATGACCTCATGGTCTCATCTTTGCGAATGTGAGAGGGAATTCCAGGCCATCTGGTTCCTGGTTCCCGGGTGTCTGGGCTGGCGACACAGCCATGCTGGTCCAGCCTCCAGCAGGCAGAACCTCCTCACTGCTGCTTCTGCCTCCGCCGCAGCGGGCAACACTGCTGCCTCTTGTGGGGAGCTGGGAGGCTCCCACTCCTTCGGCAGGGCACTGAATGGTGCAAGAGACGAGGGCCACCTGCTTCTCCCTTCTCTCCCCCACTGTGGGGACAACGCCCCCTGCTGGAGCTCTCCTGCATGCCCTGCTAAGAAAGCTCTTTTTTTTGAGACACAGTCCCACTGTCGCCCAGGCTGGGGTACAATGCTGCCATCTCAGCTCACTACGGCCCTGAACTTCCAGACTCAAGTGATCCTCCCACCTCAGCATCCAGCCACCACGCCCGGCTAATTTTTTATTTTTAGTAGAGATGGGGTTTCACCATGTTGGACAGGCTGGTCTCAAACTCCTGACCTCGGGTGATTCTCCTGCCTTGGCCTCCCACAGTGCTGGGATTCCAGGCGTGGGCTACCATGCTGGCCCTGAGAAGGCTTCTCACAGCTCCTCTGCTGTGTCCCCCATGCCTCTCCTCCTTTTGTAATTCTGTGCCATGTTTCTGCTGCTGTCCTGAGATGATGCAGAGCTGGTCCCACTGTCTGAGATAGCCATGCGGGCCATGCAGGACCTGGCAGGATTCTGAATGGCCCTGCCTCCTGCAGCCTGAGGCCTGTGTCGAGCCATGTGGCCTGGCTCCACACGTGGGGGCCGTGTGTCCCCCCGCTTAGGCCTGAGTGCTCAGGACTGTGGCCATCTCTGCCCCTGCGCCAACATGCATGACCCATCAACACCCAGCAGACCCTCATTCCCCCGTATCACCACAGTCTGGGTCCCTTCTGAGCCAGGCCCAGCCTCATTTTCCCACCAAGCGGAAGTGCAGCTGTGCCTGCCCCATTGGGGGAGCAGGGATGAGGGTCCTGAAGGGCGTGGGCCCTGCAGTGCCGCCCTGTGCAGCAAGCGGGGGGGCTTGCAGGCATCTGGAGGACAGGGGACCTGCAGCTCCAAGAAAGGAGATGTCACAAAACCCGAGGCCACCCCTAGCTTCAGGGTGCTACGGCACACAGGCAATGAGTGCCCTGACTCCTGGCTTTCATGGGTAACTGTCTTCATGAGCCTCTGTAAGGACTCAGCCATGCTCGCCAAGGCCTGCAAGGCAGTATGTGGGGCCCAGGCTGTGCGTGGCCACCATGACATCTGCACAAGGGTGGGACTCAGCCACAGCTCAGGGCCACACAGGGCTCTCACCTAGTCTGCAGGTACCATTTTTGGCCTCTGCAGCATCAGAGACCAATAAAACTCCGCTCAGCTGTCCGACAGGGAGCGCACATCAGCACAGGCCCCTCGGCCCCACCCCGGCCTCGGCAAGGTGGCCCATCTATCACGGGGGCGCTGGGGGCTGGAAAATTGGAGACAAGCAAAACAAGTACCATGTGGTTCTGAGAGGGGCCATGTGTTTTGTTACAGCCTCATGGAAGAAATAGAAACCAGATGTGGCCTCGGAGGGCACCAGGTGAGCCCGAGGCCCAGGCAGCCTCATGACAGGACACAGCTGCTTGCACGGGCCGCAGGCGGGGGCCGCACAGCACTGGAGGATGGGGGCCCCTGCTGGCTGGCACCGAGAAGTCCACTCCCCAGCGGCCCTGCACCACTGGACAAGGTCAACACCCCTCACTGCCCAGGGCTAGGGTGCCGGCACACTGGACTCCAGCTCCTGGGCTACCACAGCCCCACCAACAGTGCATGTCAGCGCCCACTCTAGCCCAGACACACGAACAGCAAGGAAGTGGTCCTGCCTGGGGTGCCCGCTGAGGCGGGTGCAACACCACCACCTCCTCTTCAGGTGCACTCTGTCCAGTCCCAATTACCAAATCCAGCGCAAGGCAGCGGGCGGCCACCTGGAGCTTCGGAACACTGTCATTCTCTGGTGACCCCAGCTGTCCCGAAGCACTGCCCTGCCAGCTGCAGGAAACCCAGAAGGCAGGGCTCCCCTACCCGCCCTTGCCACCCGGGAGCAGGCATCCTCAGCGACTCGAAGCACAGCGGCTCCGGGGAGGCCCTGGGACGGTGTCCCTGGGGGCAGTTTGTATGAGGTGACAATGCTGGGAAGGGACTTGGCCAGCACAGGAGTGCGGAGCTCAGAACAGAGATGACCGCAAGCCCCAGGGTCATCACAGCTGAGACATGCTCAGGCGACGCCAGGGGCTCCCTTCCACGGGACCTCTCCTCCCCTCTGTTAAAAAGTGGAGGAGCCGGGCGCGGTGGCTCAAGCCTGTAATCCCAGCACTTTGGGAGGCCGAGGTGGGTGGATCACAAGGTCAAGAGATCAAGACCATCCTGGTCAACATGGTGAAACCCCGTCTCTACTAAAACTACAAAAAATTAGCTGGGCATGGTGGTGCGTGCCTGTAGTCCCAGCTACTCAGGAGGCTGAGACAGGAGAATTGCCTGAATCCAGGAGGCGGAGGTTGCGGTGAGCCGAGGTTGCGGTGAGCCGAGATTGCGCCATTGCACTCCAGCCTGGGTAACAAGAGTGAAACTCCGCCTCAAAAAAAAAAAAAAAAAAAAAAAAAAAAGTGGAGGAGGCCCCGCCCTGAGGGGAAGTCACTGGCCAGCACTTCCACAGCCACCTGAGACCCCCAGACACAGCCGGCGCTGCCCCCCACCGGGGCTCCCAGGATGGCATGCAGATGCCACCCAGCGAATCCATATGAGCAGGGGCCTCTGCAGAGGCGTGCTGGATGTGGTGGATATGGCAGCATGGACGCGTAAACCCAGCCACTGTCAGGGGAGGAAGACCCCAGCGTGAAGGTTGTCGTGGACAGCACCCACGTGCCAGCACCCATGCCTGCCTAGCACCGGCCGCTCAGAGCTCCTGGCAGGCCTGGGCCCAGGGCCATCTGCTGCCGCAGTGCCAGCCTGTGTGGCACTCACCCATCCAGGCCAGGGAGGGTCAGGGATGCAGCAGCCCCCCGGGCACACGGAGCTGCACTGCACCCTGGAAAGCCAAACTCATGAAACGTGCATCTCTGTAGCCCCCGGGACTTTGCCACAGATGGGGGCATCAAGGTTACAGGACACCGCGGGCCCCTCCCAAAGCAGGCTGCGGCTGCATGAGGGGTCACGGTCGTAACTCCACCCACAGTCCTGGTAAACTAATAGTAACTAACCTAAAGCGGCAAACCAAACTGAGGCCTGGTCGCCGACACCGTCCAGGATAGAACTGGCTCGGAACTTCTATCCTCAAAGCTGAATCAATGGCACGTGAGCAACACTCAGAAACGAAAGCCTAGTCCTCCGAGTGGCAGGCATCCACTCCTGTCCCACGTTCCCCGCATACAGGCCACGCCACAGCCAGCCTCCATACACAGAGCATCATCACGGGCAAGGCTGGCAGCCCCACCCCATCTGCTGCACCCACACAGGACAGAGGCCGCTGGGCAGATGAGCACAATCTTTGGACCAGACCCAGGAGATGCCCAGTGGGCACTTGCACTGAGAAGGCTCCGAGGGCCAGGGCCGGGCACACATGGGAGACTCGCGTACCTGAGACCCGCGTACCTGAGAGCCGCACTGCCTCCACCTTCTTCAGACCCTCGGCCTCTCCAAGCTGGTCGCCGGGGGCTTCCTCTGCCAAGTCCTCAGGGACCTCCTCGCTCACAGACAGCGTGGTGACAGTGCTCACCACCAGGACGCCCAGGCCAACCCACAGCACCACCTGAGGAGACAAAGACCCCAGGGGCGGGGGTCACAGCCGGCCCCCGCCCCTGCCCAGGCTATAAAACCGGCCTGGCAGAGAGGCTCAGGGACTGGGTGAGATGCGAGGAGGGTGGGCACGACACAGTCCCCCAATTGGGGGACGGGCGTGCAGTCAGCCCTGCCTGAGGACAGGTGGCCACTCCCGGGGAGACCTGGCCCGCCAACCAGCAAAGCTGCTGACCACTGGGAGAGGGCCTGAGCCCTGATGTGGCACTGTCAGTCAGAGTACGGTGGGACTCCTGGCGTCCAGCCTGTGGCTGATGTGCCCTCCATGCCAGCTGGGGTCATGGGCCAAACGTGTGGGAGCATGCCAGCTATGAAAGCCCAGCAGGAGGGAGCGCGGCTTCCGGAAGCTTCAGGGACATGAGGAGCCTTAGAGGAACAGAGGCTGAGCACCGGGCTGACCTGCCTGGGAGAGGAGCAGGGGACTCCAGGCAGCCGCCCACCTTGAGAGCCCCCGTCCACGCTGTCCTCAAAGGGAGCGCTCCTGCATAACCCACAGGACCGGCCCTGTGCAGCGGACACAGCCCACATGGGCACAAAGGACTTGCCCCAGTCACCACAGCCAGCACCATGCATGGGGGCGGAAGCAGAAACAACCTCCACCTTTCCATAGCTGTGGTGTGGTGCCCACAAGGTCACTCTGTGAGCCGACCGCCAGACAGTCTTTATTGCCGAGGCCTCTCCCTGCGTGACCTCGTCCTCCCTCCCGGAGGCCCCCTCCGGCCGATCCTCAGTGACCCTGACAACCTCTACCCCGTGTGGCCCAGCTCCTGCCACCCTGCTATGTTAGTGAACGTGCTGGGCCCGCTCCTCCCATCATTCACGTGGCCACAGCCACAGCCACGGGTGCTGCAGTTCCTGCCTGGCCCAGCTCAGTGCAAGCTGCTCTTCCCATTGCGCCGATCTCCCCAGGGGAGCGCCAACTCCTGGTTTGGCAGAGCCTGGGTGTGCTGGCAAGGCGGCCTCTGGTAGAGCAAAGGGGCTGTGTCATTCCACCTCTGTGGTCTCAGAGCCAGAACTCAAAATCCCTTTCTGAAAGGTATGTTGGCTCTTTAAAAAAAAAAAAAAAGTTCAGAAGAACTGGTGAGACTTCCCTGGTCCAACACAATTAGAGAGGATGGTCCCCGGATGGAAGGACCCATGCTCTCCGAAGCTGGCTGAAGGAAGACAACCTAGCGGGAGCCAGCTTCCTCCACCTCCTCTGCCACCCGGAAACCTGGGCTGTGTCAGCGTCTCCGGACGCCAGGTGCGGCTACGGCTCTAGGGTCAGTGGGCTCCATTGCAGAAAGCCTGGCAGCAGTGGCCTTTCGGCTGGTGGGATGCCCAGGGAGCCCAAGGCCCCTCTGGCAGTAACCAAAGCTGGCTGGAGCCTGCGGCGACAGCAGGCCTGCCCCAGTGCATGTGGGGACATCGTCTGATGTTTGTTCTGGAGGCCCCAGCAGGACCTGCAGGTTCGACAGCCCACACAGCTCTGCCCCTGCCCTGACCCCATGTTCTCCATTTGAGATGCCCCTTCAGCCACGTTACGTCTTCCCAGAAGGGAAGAGTCCCAGAGCAATGGTGGTTTCTGGAAGATGACCAACACAGTCTTAGGGTAATTTTAAAAAGGAAGAAACTTTCACTTTCTCGAGGCTATCAGGCCTATGTAAGGAGCAGGTGTGGAAAGGCCAGCTGCCGGTGGGTGACACGGATGGCCGTGGCTTAGAAGCCTGATGCCAGAAGGCAAGGCCATCAGAGGCAGGCCTTGGGGGCCCGTCACAGCCCTTGTGACCTGTACTACACCTGCCCCTGGACCTCCATCTTCAGGGCCTTGCCCTCCCACCCAGGCCTCTGCCAGCCAGCACAGGGCAGAGGCCGGGCTCGGGTCACCTGGAGTAAAGGGTCCAGATGGAAAGTTAATCTGACCCACCAGGAAGGTGCCTAGACAGGAGACTGTTGTCTGGAAGCCTGGGAATCCCCCCGCACTGTGGGAACCCTGTTGCGACATCCCAGGCGAGTTTCTCTAACTGGGTACAGCTGCACACGCTGAGTACATCTCACATTTCTCCATCTGATGGCCCAAATTCCCTTCTGAGGAGCTACCAAAAAACTGAGCTCCCTACTTGGACTTCCCGTAACACCAACTCGATCACTAGGGGATCCTGGTGAGAGTACCTAAACAGGAAGGGTAAGCACCTCTGCTCCGGGACACTGGCAGGTCAGGGCAGAAGACTCCCCAGGTGGAATCCCAGAGCCCAGCGTTCGCCATCCTCCGCCAGGGAGCGCAGCAAGAGCGGCTACTCCAGGCCTCCAACACTTTAGACCCAAAGATTAAGACATTGGTTGGTCATTTCATGTCAGGTTTTCTTTCTTTCTTTCTTTCTTTCTTTCTTTCTTTCTTTTTCTTTTGAGACGGAGTCTTGCTCTGTTGCCCAGGTTGGAGTGCAGTGGTGTGATCTCGGCTCACTGCAACCTCCGCCTTCCAGGTTAAAGCGATTCTCCTGCCTCAGCCTCCTGAGTAGCTGGGATTACAGGTATGCGCCACCACGCCCAGCTAATTTTTGTATTTTTAGTGGAGACTGGATTTCACCATTTGGCCAGGCTGGTCTCGAACTCCTATGTTAGGTTATTTTCAATGTGGACCTCATCTAAAACATCCATGGAGACTGACAGGCCGAAGAAACAGCTCCACGACTTCAATGATTTCTTTCAACCCCCAACTTTCTGAGCTTAAAAATCACGCACATGAATCTCCCCCATGCTGGGAGACAGCAAGCTTCCCGGAAGACCCAGGACCAATGGGCCTTGGAAAGGACAGAGGCACAGGGAGAACACACTTGACCGAGGACCCACAGAGAGCCGAGTGTGAAGCTGGTCAGCAGGGGAGGGGGCTCCCAGACTGCAGCACAGGGACCCCCACCGCCTGCCACCTCTCAGGGAAGCACCTGGGGACCAAATTGAGCCCCAAGTCCAAGAACATCTCAAAACACACTGGAGAAGTGGTGGCTTAAGGTCACCGTACACAGGGAGCCTACAAGGAGTCTTCGGGCTGGGACAAGGGCAGGACTGTTCCAGACAGGCGGGTCCAGGAAGCAGACCCAGCCCTGCCTGCTGCCACGCACATGCCCGCTGCTGCCTCCTGCCCGAAGGGGTCCCCATCAGGAGAGCCGTCCCTGGCCCCCCACCAGACACCAGGCAGGACAGCACTGCCAGCGAAATGCCACTCAGGACAAGCCCCTGCATGAGAGCAGCCCTGAACACCGAGATGGTGATGTCCAGGGAACACCCACTGGCTGGAAGGCTCCATCCCCACTTTCCCTCGTCCTGACTCGCTCACTTCCCATCAGGCTCTGTGGGGCATTCGCCAGTGACCACTGCCTTGAGCAAGAGCAGCCACTGTCCCAGGCAACATCACAGTTCACACGCTCAGCCTTTCCTCTAAGAAACACCCTGGTGGCCAGGCGTGGTGGTTCACGCCTGTAATCCCAGCACTTTGCGGGGCCGAGGTGGGCGAATCACAAGGTCGGGAGTTAGAGATGAGCCTGGCCAACATGGTGAAACCCTGCCTTTACTAATAATACAAAAAAAAAAAAAAAACTTAGCTGGGCGTGGTGGCCCGTGCCTGTAATCCCAGCTGCTCAGCAGGCTGGGGCAGGAGAATCACTTGGACCCGGAAGGCAGCGGTTTCAGTGAGCTGAGACCACACCACTGCACTCCAGCCTGGCTGACAGAGTGTGAGTCTGTCTAAAAAGAAAAAGAAACACTCTGGCAGAGACAGCAGCACTACCCAGCTTGAGGGGACCACATGGGCATCTGTGATGATGTGCGTCCATGCCTCGTCCAGGAGGGGACAGTGCAGTGACCACATCCCGGTCTGCGGGCTGCCACGTGCTGGGCCTCTGTGCCAGGGCCAGGGCGGGAACACGGACTCGGCAGCAGCAGCGGATGCTGCAGGTGGGCTAGGCATCTGAAAACAGCACAGGGATCACTGAAGTCCCCAAGCAGCTGTGAGAACTCTGCCGAGGACTGGGCTGCAGACATGATGGAGTGGAGCAGGTGCCGCAGCCCCAAGGACAGGGTGAGGGCCGGGCTCCCCCGTGCTCGTCCTGCCACTGCAGTCTAACCATGGAACATGTGATGTCAACAAGGGGATCGTCTGTAGTTCCCTTGGAATCCCGAATAAGGGTGCAAGTGGAGTTCTGCACAGATGGACAGCTGGGAACTGGGGGGCGGGGGGCTGTGGGGAGCGCACTGGCTGCCCAGCCTCAGTGGCAGGGGGAAGCCCCTCGAGCCCCAGCCCAGCCTCTACCCTGTGCCTTCTGGCACAGCTTCCTGCATAGCCAAAGAACTTGCTTTGAGGACACGGTCGCTCACTGGGACCAGCGTGCCAGACCCCTGCTTTCAGAGCACCCGTGGCTTTCATTTCGACAGCCGTCAGATCAACACAATGGCAGAGCTGGCCGGCAGGAAGAACGCAAGCCCATTCCAGACGTCTCCCCTGAACTCGGAAAATCCAGGGTCCTGACCAAGGGCCGCACATGCCTGGATCGTAGCGCCCTCCCCTGCAGGAGTGATCAGGGCCTCCAGACACACAAGGCAGAGAGAAGTCCCAAGGAGGGGGGAGAAAACACCCACTTTTCACTTCAAACGTGTCGAACGCGCACGAGTCCGCCCTCCGCACTTCAGGAATGAAAAGCACAGCTGCGGGCTGGGGCTCTGACTGCTCTGCACCACGCGCCTCCACGTGGGTCTCAGGGCAGCCCAGTTGGCATCCAGGCACCCACCCAGCAAGGGCCTGAGCCTCAGCAGGCCTCGGGGGTCCTCTGGTTACAGGCAGATGCCCCACCGGTGGCTCATGTCTCTCTGAGAGCCACAGTGTGCATTTCATTACATCTTTCCAAGATCAGGGGCCGGCTTCCAGGCCCTTCGGCAACTGCTGCCTTCTGGTGCACCCCTGTGAGGTGGCCTCCCGTGCCCCAGGCATCTGTCCTCTGAGTGGCCCTCAGGCACCTTCTAAGCTGCCTGCTGCTCCAGCTCCCTCCCGGCTCTGGGGCAGTGGGACCCTCAACTTTTCTGACTTTCAAAATAAAGAACAAACAGGCCAGGCACAGTGGCTCATGCCTGTAATCCCACCACTCTGGGAGGCCAAGGTGAGTAGATAACCTGAGGTCAGGAGTGTCTGAGACCAGCCTGGCCAACGTGGTGAAATCCCATCTCTACTAAAAATACAAAAATTAGTCTGGCATGGTGGCGCGCACCTGTAATCCCAGCTACTCAGAAGGCTGAGGCAGAAGAATAGATTGAACCTGGGAGGCGGAGGCTGCAGTGAGGGGCTGGGCACAGTGGCTCAAGCCTGTAATCCCAGCACTGTAGGAGGCTGGGGTGGGTGGATCATTTGAGGCCAGGAGTTCGAGAACAGCCTGGACAACATGGTGAAACCACGTCTCTATTAAAAACACAAAAATTGGCCGGGCGCAGTGGCTCACGCCTGTAATCCCAGCACTTTGGGAGGCCGAGGCGGGTGGATCACGAGGTAAAGAGATCAAGACCATCCTGGTCAACATGGTGAAACCCCGTCTCTACTAAAAATACAAAAAATTTGCTGGGCGTGGTGGCGTGCGCCTGTAATCCCAGCTACTCAGGAGGCTGAGGCAGGAGAATTGCTTGAACCCAGGAGGTGGAGACTGCAGTGAGCCAAGATCCTGCCACTGCACTCCAGCCTGACGCCTGGCGATAGAAAGAGACTCTGTCTCAAAAAAAAAAAAAAAAAAAAAATGTATCAATATATACCAGTAAAAAAAGCTCAACTCCATAAAAAGCAAGCAAAGAACACAGGCAGTTCACAGAAAAAGAAATGCAAGTGGCTTCTAAACCCATGAAAAGATGCCCAGGTTCCCACCAGAGAGGAATGATGAAGACTGGAAGGTCCTGGGCGTGGGGACAGAGGCCTTGAGCCCGGGTGGGAGCGACGCTGCAGCCACTTGGGCAGAGCCACCATGTTTACAGTAAATGCTCACACTCCTGACACAGGATTCCATTTCTGGAAGGTTTCTTACAGATGTGTGCTCAAATATCTCACGATGCTCATGAACATGGATATTCATCGCAATTGTGTCTGCAAACGCAGAAGACTGGAGAGGTGACTCCTTCAGAGACTGAGATTATGGAATTTTCCTACCATGGAACACCATGAAATGGCTAAAAATAGCCAGGCAGCTTTGTGCCCACGGCTTGGAGCAACCTGACCTGCAAGGGATCTGGAGCAAAAGCAGCAGGAAGCTGTGTTACAATGAAAGGAACACCCACGTGCATGCACGTGCACGCGTCGGCCGCCCACATGCACTGCCCCTTGAGGGTCACACCAGGAACCGCAGTGCTGGTGGCCTTGGGGGTGGGCGACTGGGGAGGGTCTCAGAGTTGGCAGCAGGTCCATGGACAGTCAGTCACCACAAAAACACCACGGGGAAAGTGCTTACAACTCAGCTAAGTCAGCTCTCAGGAAAGCCCGATGCACAGCTGGTGAGCAGCTGGGTGAGGCTCTGCTGGGCAAGGACCGTACACCCTGTGAACCCAGGGGTCCCCAGGCTGACTGGACCAAGTCCCTTTTGTGGGTTTTAAGTTTCTGGACAGAACCCATCTGAAAACGCTGAACAGGGGCTTCCTTCTGCCCCCAACTCTCCCCAGCCCAGACCAATCAGCCTTCGTCCAGGTCTCCCCACAAGTGTCCCCTACCTGGGAGGAAAACGCGTTCCTGTGGATTTTCTTGTAGATCAGCGCTGGGCAGATGAAGCAAATGAGGCTTCCCATGGTTGCACCCGTGAGGCCTAGGATCGTCTCCACTAGGACAGAGAAGTGACAGGAAGGGATGAGCAGGAAAGGGTACCAGTCAGGAGGGGACCTGAGCTTTTGCCCAGCATGTGGGTGAGCAAGTCAGCATTGAAGGAAATGTCTTCTAGGCATGAGCTGGGAGCAGAGATGCCCTCTGTGCCTGGGAAGCCTGACAACCGCCAGCTGATTCCTCCAACAGTATATTTGGGCTCCTGGGGTGAATTCTCTGATTGTTCATCTTCAAAGAGCCAGACACGGCCAGGGGCGGTGGCTCACGCCCATAATCCCTGCACTTTGGGAGGTTGAGGCAGGTGGATCATGAGGTCAGAAGTTTGAGACCATCCTGGCCATACTGAAACCCCGTCTCTATTAAAAATACAAAAATTAGCTGGGTGTGGTGGCGCATGCCTGTAGTCCCAGCTGCTTGGGAGGTTGAGGCAGGAGAATTAATCACTTGAACCCAAGAGGTGGAGGTTGCAGTGAGCCAAGATCTCGCCACTGCATTCCAGCCTGGGTGACAGAGTGAGACTCCGTTTGGAAAAAAAAAAAAAGAGCCAGACACTAGGGATTTTCTGCCTATACCAGATGTGGGCTCCGCACTGCACCGTTCCCACGCTGCCTCTCCCACCTGCTTCGCCATGAGTGGCCCTAGGCTGGGCAGGACCTATCCTAGGGCAGTTGTAAAAGCCAGGGCCTGGCACACGCTACCAGAGTGCAACCCCCTGGCAGGAGCCCAGACAGATCACCTCTAGGGATGCTCCCTGGGGAGAGGCAATCGGGTTCCCCATGACCTGATGATAATGAGCTCTGCCTTGTCTGCTAGACAGTGGGTGCGTCTGGGGTAACATAAACACGTTCAGGGCCTTCAACGCTCCCCTTGGTAAAGCGCCAGCAAAACCGGAAGTCGAGAGTCAACGGTACAGAATGCACTGTTCTATGACGGTTCATTTGACAAATCAGGCCTGTGTCCTGGCACTGCAGTCCCTCTCTGCCCAGGTGTCAATGGGTGTCTGCTGTTCCATCAAGCTGCCAGATTTTATCTCCTCCCCTTCTCTGTGGGCCAATGACAGTCTCTAGACAATTTTAGGAGACCAGAGAGGACAGCTCATGACTGTGCAGGTCTTGGTTGAACACCGGCGCCCCTGGGTCCCACTGCCCGGCACTGGAGCAGCCCCCAGCCTTACCGTTGGGGATAAGGATGCCACCAACCATGGTCCCGAACACCACAGAGAGGGTAAGTGCTTTAAACCGGAGGGGGGGCATGTAGCCCCCTGCTGCAAACGTGCCATCTTTTTGCTGTATAAAAGAAAATAGAAACAAAAAGGCTTTGAAGTGACTGATTTCCTCCACCACTCTCCTAGAAGGCCATGCCCGAAAGAGCTCTACCGGGCACACAGGCACATTTCCACGTGAGGCCGGCGCACGCGCCTGCCAGGTGAGCCTGCCCAGCACAGTCAGATCTGGCTGAGCCACTCCAACAGTAACCTGCAACCGGGCTTCTCACCCCAGGCACAGGCCGTAAATTTTACAACCTCGTTTTGAAATGTGAGTAACGAGTCCTTCCGTTTTCGTTTTTGCTTTTGGAGCAATGCCACAAGAGAGTTTTTTAAGTGCCCGGAAGTATGGCGAGCAGAGTACAGGCTGCACAGCGCCACCCCTGCCAAATGAATCTAGGCCTCCCCTGGCCTGCAGGTCTCAGGGTGCAGGCAGAAACCCCACGCACACACAACACAGTCACTCACACTCACACACATTCATGGCCGTGTTATCATCATCTCCAGCAGATGTGCGACAAGCAGTGAGCAATTTCAAAATCCAGGGAGAAGAAGAAGAGAAAAGGGCATGATGAGGCATCACCAAACTGCAAGCGCCTCTTTTGGCTCCAGGGTGCAGCCAGGCCTCTGCTGCCCTGCACAGGGAGGAGGCGGCAGAGCCAAGGTAGATGGCCTCATCCCCACCTGCCCCAGAGCCCCAGGCTGTGGTCTAGCACAGACGCAGGAGCCAGACTGCCTGTCTCAAATCCTTGCTCTGCCACTCACCAGCCCCAGCTTGGTGCCTTGGACAAGTGACTTAACCTCCGTGCCTGTTTCCTCATCTTCAACAGAAGCATCTCCTCATCCCGCCATGGTAAGGACCAAATGAGTTAACACACAGGACGGGCTGGCCATGATGACTATCCCTGGGCTAGGAAACAACTGCAGAACTTTCTAGAACTGCAGTTTCGAAGCATCCCATTTTCAGAATGGACTTTTACACAGGATGGAATGCGGGAGCTGGAGCCAGAATTTCCTATGCACCTTAGGGCGATAATTTGTATACAGGCCAGGGAGGTGAGGGGTTAGGTCCATCACACAAGAGGAAATTTGCCTATGAAACAGACCAGAGAAGGGGAGATGGGACTTTAGCACGAAGACTGTCATGAGATCCACGAGAAGGAGCAGTGTGCCCAGGCCTCCATGACAGGTGGAGAAGCAAGGGAGCAGAGGCCCTACAGGCTTAGGGACCGTGGAGAAACGCTCACGGCACATCAGCCGAAGACAAGACAGCAGGTGCAATGGCCATGGCTGCACCTTGGGGAAAAGAGAAGCCACAAGCGCTGACGGAGGAAACACACACCCAGGCCCCCACTGGGGTGAAGGGATGCGCGTGAGCTCTCCTGCTAGATTCACGACACCTTTCATGCCACTGTCAACTTTCTAACAAGGTGAAGATGGGTCATGTACAGAAATATAGATGCTGCTCAGGTACAAAGCATCTAACAGTGAAAGTCGGCCTGGCCGGAAGAGTGGGGGAATCGCATGGCCAGATGATGGGCTCTGCCCTTGCCTCCTCGATCCAGCCTCACCCGTGCCTGGGTGCCTGAACTCTTCAGAAGAGGGGAGCCCCAGCCCGGTCCTAGGTGCTTGGCCACTGCTGTAAGCCAAAGGCATGTGGCTGGAGGAAGTCCACAGGAGGCAGATGATGGTCACTAGGCTGTGGTGGCCGTGCAGCTGGCCACATGGACAGTGAGCCCGTGCTGCTGCTCCCAAGGCTCAGGGAGACCCACCACCCCCCACCGTGACTGATGGACTCTCCCCTGGGTCCTCTGAGACCACTCCACCCACCTTGGCTAAAACAGTTCAAAAGGAACTTGTGCCGGTAGCCACTGGGAGTCCCAGCTGACAGGACAGACCAGGCTCACAGGTCTCAGACTGCGGGACAGAAGAGGATGGGCCACCTGGCAGAGCTCCCGAGGGGAGGCAGGTGGGGAACCTCGATGGGGCAGGGCTCCCCCAATACTGCACCCCATGCTCGGGGCGCAAGACAGCACAGCGTGCCTTCCATGGTTAACTGCCATGGAGAGAACCAGGACAGCCTCCTCGTTTCCTCCTACAGTTGAAGATTTCTTATCAAGAACTAAGTAGCTGCCTTGTCTACAAACGTTAAAGTAAAAAACCCAGCCTGGTTTTTAATTTTTCTTTCTTTCTTTTTTAGAGACGGGGTCTCGCTTTGTAGCCCAGGCTGGAGTCTGATGGAGGGCCACGGTGCACTGCAGCCTTGAACTCTTGGTTCAAGTGATCTGCCTCAGCCTCCAGAGTAGCTGGGACTACAGGAATGCACAGCCATCCCTGGCTAATTTTTGTTAATGTTTTGTAGAGATGGGGTCAAGCAATGTTGCCCAGGCTGGTCTCGAACTCCTGGGCTTAAGCAATCCTCCCACCTCACCCTCCTAAAGTGCTGGGTGAGCTACAACACCCATCCTAGTTTTAAAATTTGTTTAAAGACAGCGTCTTGCTCTGTTGCCTCTGCTGGAGTGTAGTGATGAAATCACACCCAGCCTCAACCTCCTGGACGCATGCGATCCTCTCACCTCAGTCTCCCGAGGAGCTGGGACCAAAGGCACCACCACTATGGCCTGCATCAAACTCAGCCTCTCTTATGATTCAGAAAGCTTTCGTTACATTGTTAAACTTTTTCAAAGTTACACAAAAGTAATGAGAACTGTGTGGTGAACTCCAAGTGCCAATCTCCAGACTCGCCATTATCAGCTCCTGCCCATCAATCTGGTTCCTGTAGGCACCCCCAACTTCCACCCTCACAGGACTCCTCTGAAGCAAATCCCCACTTTCCTGCTCTCTCTCTGGTTCGGGACAGCTGGGAGCTCATGGGAAGTGAGCCTGGCCTGTGCTATCACAATTGGGAGGGCGCCCTGGGAGTCTCACCTGCTGCTCACACAGCAGTGTGCTCAGCGCCTGCCGGCACGGCAGGATCATCATAGGGAAGCCCACAGCCACTGACATCATGAAGCCCAAACGGAGCATCTCCGTCACCAGGTTGGAGGGGAAGTGCATCAGCACGTTGCCGGCTGTGGCCTCGGTGAAGCTGACGTAACCGAAAAACCCCACCTGTTGGAGGAAGAGAAAGGGCAGCGTAGCGAACAGACTTCCCAGTCTGTGTGGCCCCTGTCACAGTGGACAGGGCATGGGGGGAGATCTGTGCCCTGCCCCCAAGAATGGCCTTCAGTCCACTTCACAGTGAAGCTCTGCAAGAGACAGCCTTCCAGGGGCCAAGCACCATTCAGCCTCCTTCTCCTTAAAATCTGCACTTTCTGTAGGGAACATGCCATTTCTACAGAGAATTAACAGAGGTCTACAGAGACAATAAGAGTGGTTGGGATGAAGCATTCTGGGAGCAGCCCTGGTGCTAGGCTCCTCAGGGCAGGAGAGCTTCCTGGCCCAGGGTGGACCCGGGCTTCTGGGGCTGGTCCTGGAATGATGGAAGCTGAGGGGGCTGTCCCAGGTCCCCACGCAGCCTCCAGACACTGGGATGAGAACAGAGAGAACGAGCTGGCAGCACACAGGGCCAGGGGCGTGCCTGAGGCGAGGCACAGGGCAGCAGGGCACATAGCGCTGGCATGACACAGGTGTGGAGAGGGAGTGGCAAGGCTCTTACCATGACGTAGAAGGTGGTGACCACGTTGAGGGAGGAGGCAAATATGGAGCTCATGGTTTTCACCGATGGCTCATCCAGGCTGTCGTAGGTGGGCAGCACCTGGCTGTACCAAAACAGGCCGTTTCACAGCGGACCCGAGAGAGGCATGCATTCCCCAGAGGTGCTGCTCCCTGGACCTGCCAGGAGCCTCTGACCTTCCTTCACACAACATTTCGTAAACACTGAGTCCTGGCGCTCAGGCCAGGATGTCGTGGTGCTGAGGACAGGAGCGCTGCAGTGGCCCCCAGGCAGGACACCCCCAGAGCGTGCACCATCCACGCAGGACACCCCCAGAGCGTGCGCCATCCATGCAGGACGCCCCCCGCCGAGCGTGCGCCATCCACGCAGGACGCCCCCCCCCAAGAGTGCGCCATCCACGCAGGACGCCCCCCCAGAGCGTGCGCCATCCACGCAGGACGCCCCCCACCCGAGCGTGCGCCATCCACGCAGGACCCCCCCCAGAGCGTGCGCCATCCACGCAGGACACCCCCAGAGCGTGTGACCTGCAAACATTCCCACAGGCTCAGGGACACCAGGCTGCTGCTCCACACCAGCAAAGGGGCACTGAGAGTCAACGCAGCTAGTTTATAGGGGAAGCAGCGGGAGGAAGCTGTTCAGAGAATCGCTGTCAAAAGGAGGGAAAGTTAAACAAACACACCCTGGCCTGGGCGGCTGGCCCATCTCAGCGCCTCGGCACAGGCGGGATCAGAGTCGGGCACAGACAAGGAGACGGCCAGGGCGTGCTTCCCACTGCAGCCTCTCACTTGTGTCATGAGAAAACTGGCTTCGGTCCCACGCCTGGTGCCAGGAGCTTGGTGCTTCTGGGGGTGGGAGGGACCCAAGCCACTGGCCAAGCCAAGACGTGACAGCCCTGCACAGGCACAGACCCATCCAAGGGATGTGCACGGGGACCTGGGCCCCTGGAGAGGGGTGGGAGAGATGGGAGAGGCTGGGGCCATGGACTATCCATGTGCAGCCAGAGAGGATGGAGCTGGGCCAGGCAGTTCACCCCAGAGCGCAGGTGAGAGCCACTCTGCCGGGAGCTAAACGAGGACTTTGGAGCGGGGAGTCCAGGGGGCCGCTCCGAGGCTGTTTGGTGGCCGTGGCCATGGCCATCCTGGGGCAGGGGCTCAAGGGCACAAAGGAAGCTGGATGGGCCAGGGGAAGGGTAGAAAGCCAGCAGCACAGCGGCTGGTGGAGCCAAATCCCAAACCGCCTTGAAGAAAGTGAAAGAAAAACAAGACGTCCTGACTTTGTTAAAACAACAAACCAGTCCAGGCACAGTGGCCGATGCCTGAATAGCAGCACTTTGGGAGGCTGAGGCAGGAGGACCACTGGAGCCCGGGAGGTTGAGGCTGCAGTGGGCCATGATCGTATCACTGCACTTAAGCTCAGGTGACAGAGCTGGACCCCATCTCCAGCAAAAATAAAAGGAACCCAGCAGACTGACAAGGACAAGTGAGAAGGCCCCGCCAGCAGCTGTCGGCGTCCTGTTGCCCGGCCCTAGCGCGCCATCCCATCAGGCTGCCCTTGGCATGAAGTGCCATCAGCAGCACTTGGGGCACTCTGCAGGACACGAGCCCTCTCCCCAGCCCAGGCTGGAGGGGAACTAAGAGGCCAACACTTGTGCACACAGCCCCAGGAGGCTGGCGAAGAAGCAGGAAAACACCCGAGAGGTCTCCGTGGCCCCAGACCCACAGCTCCAAGAGAAGGCCGGCATGAACTTCCCAGCGCTAAACTGTCCTCTGGCCAGAGCTGAGTCCACAAAGAGGGCCTCAGTTTGAGGGGACCAGTGCTGGAGTCCCATGACACATGCTTCCCCCTAGCCCCAAACACACACTGTGGGGAGTGACCCCCCCCCCAAGGAAGCCATGGATACTGTGGGAAGGGGTGTCCCAAGCACGTGGCGTGGCCAGGGTGGAAGGCCAAGCCCCAGGCTCCTCTCCAATCCTGACCACCTACCCCAGGGACCCCCAGGATCATCCCTGGAAAGAAACAAGGCAGGAGCCACCAAACCTCCTGGTCACCTGCAAAGGAGCTCGACAGACGGGGGAAGGTGCTGAGCGCCGGCCCGAGGCCCACAGAGCAGCCTTGCCCGTCCACCTTGTGAGGCAGCCTCTGAGGCTCAGGGCCTTCCAGAGTCAGTGCAGCCGTCTGTGTGCAGCTCTCGGGTGTGTGCCCCTCTGCCCCACAGTGACGATGGGGACCCCGGTCTCCACACAGACCCTGCCCTCCAGTGCCTCCTGGGCTCAGTCCTGCTGCAGCCAATTCTCTGGGCCTAGAACAACCATTCTGCATAACAAGGTATACATTTACCAGAAAGGGCCAGATAGTGAAGGCACAGGGGAGGCCTGGCCCCAGCTAACATCCAGAGCAATCATACAGGTGCGTGGCACGGCCGGCCACCCCAGCAGACAGGCACGCTGGTGCAGTGACGCTGTGGGCGGGAAAAGCTGTCTGCTCTCAGCAAACATTCCTGAGTTCAGGGCAGCGGCCACCACAGGGAGGGGCGTCCCTGCTCCAGAGAACGTGGTGTGAATCTGTGGACCCACACGCCCTGGGGGAGGGCAGAAGGAAACCTCTACTTGGATGGGGTGTCCCTGCTCGGGAGAACGTGGGGTGAATCTGCAGGCCCACACGCCCTGGGGGAGGGCAGAAGGAAATCTGCACTTGGCGGGCCGCACACTCCAATGCTTCAGAACCCAGCACCTGACTCCGGAAGCAAACCCAAATGATACGCACTGGCTACTATGTGGCCACCACCAAAAACCCCACTGCAGATGAATTTCTAAATATGCAGACACGCAGACACAAAGGGCAACTGGTAACTAGGTATGTGGCGGAAGAATGCGGCTTCTGTCACCGATCATAATGGATATTAAACAGCAAGACTGGGGCGCGTTCTGGTGGAGACAGAGCTGCCAAGAGAGATGCTAAGTGGGAAATGACGATTTGGATCTCGCGTGTGGGTGTAAACACAGCGGTATGAACAAATTTCATCTGTCACATTAGTTTACGGTTGGCTCAGTGCGTGCCCACTAACGCGACGGGGCTGCTCTGCCAGCCCCCGCACGCCGATGGTCTTTTCCCGTCCGCGCCGGATTTACGCCTCTCTTTTCAGCCGGTTATCATGTTCCAACCGGGCATGAATCACCCACTCTTGTCATTTTGGTGGAGAAGGTAATGCTGCTGGAATTATGGGAGAGCCCAATCTGCATTTACAGAGCACTGCGTGCCAGAGAAGCAGGCTCATGCACACATGCAGCCTCCCGATGCATCAGCAGCCGTCTAAAGTCAGTGTTTGTGCAATTTCCTTTTAAATATTCTCGGAACAGCTCAGTCCTGGCACAACACTTGGGACTGTGCCGTCAGATGGCTGGGCTGTTGCTGTATCCCCCACAGCCAACGTTCTGCTTGTGGGGATCTGGCAAACTGGGGACTCCCACCAGCTAGCCCCCAACACATCCCAGAAAGGAAGCCGGTTTACCTCCCGATTAAAATAGAACCATCTCCCCCAGCCTGGAGGGGGAAAGGTCATCACTGAGCAAGACATCACTTCAGCAGCCAGCAAAGAGCCATCACAGGAAACGAGAAAGACAGAGGGTCCCGTCTCCCAGCAGCTTGCCCTCCCCCCAACAGAACCCACCTCCAGCAGGGGCCACAGCGGGACACTTACGACTGGCAGGCAAAGGACATGCCGAAGATGGGGATGCAGCGGAAGACGCCCTCCCAGCGGATGTAACTGACCCGCCGCAGCCACTGCCCGCTGAAGAGGCCGTGCTTGAGAGAGGAGAGCACAATCTGCAGGGGAGCGGGGAGAGAGCACAGGGCGGGTCAGAACGCAGGCGGGACCAGCATCCCGCTGGGAGGGAGCAGGAGGAGAGCACAGCTCTTCCCACCCGCATCCCAGCCCTGCGACCCGGTGCCGCCAGCTGGAGGCAGGGAGACCGCGCATTTCTGAACTCCTGCCCCTGCCTCAGCGCACCCTGGCTCATCCTGCAGTTAGCAGGGCAGTTGATCTGGCAAGGGGGCAGCTTGGCACAGACGGGGGGAGACCACTGAGCGCACACGGTCCCAGTTTCCGTCAGTTACAGAGGGCGGTTTCCCGCACACGCAGGTCCCTCTCCATCCTGTACTGTGCCAGACACGGACATCTCCCAAAAGATGCCCACCAAGGACACGGCCATCTCAAGAGTAAAGAGGTGCTGCCACTGGGCTAGGCCTCGCTGGGAGAGCTGAGGAGCACTGGAGACCCTGGCTTCAGTGACCACCTGCCCTTGTCCAGGTGCAAACTCGCTCCAAACTCAGGTTCCGGCCACTCCAGAAGGGTCATTTCTGACCTCGCCAGGGAATGGGTAGGTCCCGGGGGCTTGGGTCCTGCAGCTTCTATGGGCAGGTCCCGGGCAGAGATGGAGGATGCACTGGGGCCTCTGGGAAGCTTCCTGTTCACAGATGACTTCTGGTCCACCGTGTTATTAATTCTCATTTAGAAAAACAATGGTTTGCCACCTTGTGTCACAACACTGGCACTGTGAGCCTTGGTCACAAACTCTACCTAAGACATCTTTGCACAAAGCTAGCGGACTTGGCGTTCCCTTCTCCTTGCGTGGATGACATGAAACCAGCCTCACAGCCACCCCGCCCTGAGCCCCAGCCTCTCCTGCCAGCCAACCACACCTGGGTCCACCCAGCCCTGTCTGCCCCATGGTGCCCAGTGGCCTCGAGATGAATGGCACTTCGTGGCATATCCTGCTCATTCCAGCACATTCCCAGAAGCAGTCACACCAGACCCGGGCACGGGCCTGCTGCCAGGAGCAGCACTGCAGACTCACCACGAACATGAACACGGTGTAGAAGAGGAGGGCCATGGCGCTGAAGGACTGGATGGAGGCCATCATGTTCCGCTGCAGGCTGAGTGGGAGCACGATGCACAGTGACACCGCGACCAGCAGGAACGTGCGGAAGGTGCCGCCCACCTGCGGGGAGCCGGGAGAGGCCTTGGCCACAGTCCGGGCCTGCTCGCCACACGGCTCTCTGCACTGCCAGGGAGCAGAGCACCTTGAGCTCAAAAGCCAATGGCATCCGGGTAAATGACGCCGGCGGGTCCGAGGCTGGCACGCTCGCCAGGAAGCCGCTCTCACAGCCGCCATGCTGTGCACCTTGGACACTGAGCATTTCCCTTCCCTGGAACCCAGTCCAGCCCAGGGTAAGACCAGCCAGAGCAGAGGACAGGAGCCCCATAACGCAGCAGGCAGCGCTGCAGCAACACAGCGGCTGCGGCTCAGAGTCAGCGGCCCTGGGTGGTGGGCGGGAAAGGTGCAGAGCGCTGTATGCACAGGGCAGGCCCGAAGCTCTACTGAGGTCAAGGCGAAGCACAGAAAATGGGAAGTCCAACAGGGAGACTCTCAGAAGAAGACAAGGGGGCCTGGCTCCCTGGACGCTTCTTGGAATGTTCTATGATGCGGAACAGATCTGGTACATTCCACTCCTGGAGAGAACACCTCTGCCTCGGCTGTGGCCTTTGAAAGCCTTTCTACACTGTCAGCACCCTAACTGCCACAATGCCCGCCCACCCAGCAAGGGGCTGTGCTCCCCAGCAGGGAGGGACAGGTGTGTCTCTCCCTGTCCATCAGGTGGCCTCTCTGTGGCGTGGCCTCTCTGTGGCAGGTGAAAAAGCACGGAGGAGGCCACACCAAGGTCCCCACAAGAAGTGCTGAGTCCACAGGCCCCAGCAGCAGAGGTTCTGGATCCACCCAGCAGCCTGGGTGACCACAGAGGCCAGGGATGCACAAGGGCCTGGCCACCTCTGCCCTCCAATGGGCAGCCTGGGCTGGCAGAGACTTGCTCTGCATGGTGCCTGGGTCTGAGGTTCCCCCACCCCACCCTCATCCACATAGTGTCAGACTCTGCCTGGCTGGCTTCCTCCCCCACACCTCTCACAGATGTGACCCCAGCAGAGCCCCCGCACTCCCCCAAGCCCCTGGACTGACAGCAGGCTCGACAGAAGCTTTTCCCGACCAGTGCCCTGGTCTCGGTCCCTGGCAGGATCCCACGGAGGGCCTCAGAAAAGCTGGCAGCATCTCAACAACAATCCAGAACCCTGAACACATCCTTACCTGAAACCCAAACAGCCGGGCAAAGAAGTTGGCCCCCAAATCACCGATGACGACGTAGAAGGCGACACAGGTGCCCAGCATCAGCCCAATCATGCTGCAGGGGAGAGGGGGCAGGAAATGCCATCAGGGCGAGCTGGCATAGCACCTGTGCTGCTGCCCAGGCCACCCCAAGGCTGGAATGAATGACAGATGTAATTTCAGACGCGCCACGGTTCACAGGGCATGGGCAGGTTCAGTGGCACTCGCTATGTCCCTTGGAATGCACACCGCCGAACGACACCCAACTTTTCTCGATGTGGTATTGTACTCATCCCTCCATGGAGGCTCTACACGTTCCTCAAGGTGTTACAAAGATGCCCCATGATGGGCTGGGCCCGGTGGCCTCATGCCCGTAATCTCAGCACTTTGGGAGGCCAAGGCAGGCAGGTCAGGAGTTCAAAACCATACTGGCCAACATGGCAAAGTCCCATCTCTACTAAAAATACAAAAATTAGCCAGGCGTGGTGTCAGGCACCTGTAATCCCAGCTACTTGGGAGGCTGAGGCATGAGAATCACTTGAACCTAGGAGGTTGCAGTGAACCAAGATCATGCCACTGCACTCCAGCCTGGGCAATAAGAGCAAAATGCCATCACCAAAAAAAAAAAAAAAAAGCCCTACGATATTAGTCAAGGGAAAAGAATAATCAACTGCTTTCGAAAAATAAAAAACTGCTTTTGAGTCTACAACTTCCTAACTTAGAAGCCTAGAAGTGCAATCTCCCAGCAATTTTTTGATCTCATAAATTTTTTCATCTCATGAAATTTTACTCCAAAGGAAGAAAAGTATGACACTTGCGATGGAACGCCACCTTTATGCAGCAGTGTTGGGGGCAGGGGCGGCGTAGGAACTCTGTTGAGAGAATAACTACAATGAGGGAGGTCTATTTTCCGTGTTCTTGGAGTTTTCCATATTTAAATTTTTCTTGCAACACTGAAAGGTACAATAAATTGGAATTTTGTGTATTTAGTGACTCTTCAGAAACTAAGTTATAGGTGAATCCGGGGGTGAAAGTCTCACTCCCGCTGGGAGGGTCCCCAGTGTCTGGGCAAGGGGGAGGGAGGAGCGCAGCAGGGCTGGGTTTACCTGGTCTCCACCAGCATCTTGCCCGCTTTTCCATAGGCGTGGAATGCTAGTGCAAAAGAAAAGAGAAGGAACACTCAATCCAACAGCGTGAGAAGCACATCCAGAAGAAAAGGCACTGGGCAACGCTGTCAAGGGCGATTTCACAGAAACCCACGGGTGCAGATCCTCCGGGCGTGGGGGGTACTTCAAACCCTGGCCCCCAGGCTATTT